GGCTGGTGGGGGGAGGGGGCAATTGGGGGCAAGCAGGCCGGCAGGCAGAGTGGTTAGGGGCAATCAGGCAGGCAGGCAGGTGAGCAGTTAGGAGCCAGCGGTCCTGGATTGTGAGAGGAACCACAGGTATCAGACATCCCCCAAGGGGTCCCAGATTGGAGAGGATGCAGGCCGGGCTGAGGGACACCCCCCCCCCGGTACATGGGCCACTAGTGTTTATGATAACTATCTGGCAAACAATCAACTAATGAACCAAGCAACCAACCAGGCAATAAAAAAAGCAAGTGCCCTTTGAACCATAGGCAGGCTTTAGATAGGGCTTCTAGTGTGGCCTATGTCTCATGGCATTAACCATACAATTTGATTACCAGTTTTTTCAACAAGTCCTAGCTCAAGGTAATAGTCTGTCTATATATTTAGGTAAATGGTGAAAATACAAACTATCAATGTTATTCCATATTGGGGATCACACTGAATTGTAAAAGGGTTTAAAGAATTAATTTTATCATATGTTTAAATAAGGATTTTTATAATGAATCAGTACAATATTTATCTTCCAAAGTCAACTAGTTTTAAGAACAGAATTAAACTTGAGAGGTAGCATAAAAAAAAACCTTCATCCCTAGAAAATGTAATGGTTATAGGCTAATGCAAGTCAATCTACTCACATCTCTTAGGAAAGAGAAAAGAGATAGAATAGAAAGAAAGGAAAATAACTTTCTTAAAGAATAAAAAGAAATAGCTATTTGAGTTTGAAGCAAATCGGGTATGGGATTGCAACAATAAAGAAAAGCCGAGGCACTGAAATATTATATTAATCCTTAGTAATTAACTTTAAAATGATACCATAGACATAAACATACAGCTAAAGACTCAAACATTTACACAATGTTAACATAACAGGTTTGGAAATAAAGAAAGGGTAGAAAAACATTAAAATTGTTTAGTTGATATATATGTAGATTTCTATTTGGCAAATTCATTAATCATGGTATATGTATAAATATTATATTATGTATAATGAATATTATATATACACTAGAGGCCCGGTGCACAAATATTTGTGCACTCCGGGGGGGCCCTCAGCCCGGCCTGTGCCCTCTCGCAGTCTGGGACCCCTCAGGGGATGACCACCTGCTGGCTGAGACCTGCACCCCGGGGGATTGGGCCTAAACTGGCAGTGAGACATCCCTCTGGCAGCCCAGGAGCCCTCAGGGGATGTCCACTTGCCAGCGGGCTGCAGGCCTAAACTGCAGTGGGACATCCTTAGCGCTGCTGAGGAGGCGGGAGAGGCTCCTACCACCACCGCTGTACTGGCAGCCATCAGCCTGGCTT